TTTTTTTTTTAAATATGGGATGTATGAGCTTTTCACTTTATATCTTGTTTCTACTTAGGCGAACGATCACCAATGAAATTGGCCGAAGGCAACGGTTCACGCGATTGGGTGACAAACCTACACAATGGGTTGTTTTATTCTGTAACTTGCACTATTCATTGAATAATTGATTTAGATTGTGGGTGTATGTGTGCCTTCTAAACGGAAGTATTTATGTTCGTGTGAACTTCGCCTGGTGCAACACGAGTCAAGATACCCCCCCCCCCCCAAAAAAAACGATGAAAATTAAATAAAACTGTAGAAATAAAGTTAATAATTAAAACAAATGTCCGGTTCAATGATGAAACCGATACTAAATGATTTCCTGCTTAAAAGTCATAACAGTCACGGGGCACATTTAGTAAAGGGAGCCAGGGAACTATAATAAACTGTACACCTTGGGATGGGGTATCGTTAAATTGTACTTGTCTGTCGTCTGTTGTTTCCAATATACAAATGTCGGATCGCTGAAGTCTTCAGCACCTATTTTTATATACTAGATACCAACCGATACGACACCCATACAGGCGTACGGTTTGTTATAGGATCTGGGTTCTCCGAGGCACATGTACATATTATTTACGTTTGCTCACCTGTGACGTATAACTCGCGGCGTATAAGATAATGAGAACAGTTGCTACAAGTGACATGGTGATCCTACCAAGTATATAAATCGTGATTAAAACTGGACGAGACAAGCTTCACCTCGACAAACATGGCCGGATCAATGGAAATGTTAAAATATTCCAGATACACTTCCGCTTAGCAATTTCTTTTCATTGTTGGTATGAGTGGTATACCGCTATTTTAGTAGAGGGAGGGAGGGTCTATGCACGCTCTAATAAATCTCATGAACTTCCTCAAACCAGTAGATTTATGGTGTGCCATAAGGACCAAAATTGAAAAACACCAATAAATAAAAGAATAAATCAAAGAATAAAACAATAAATAAAAGAATAAATTGAAGAATAGAATAAGAAATAAAAGAATAAATTGAAGAATAGAACGATAAATTAAAAATAAAAGAATAAATAAAATAATGAAACAAAAAATAAAAGAATAGAACAATAATTAAAACAAAAAATAAAAACGTAAAAGAATAAATAGAAACAAAGAATAATAATTAAAAGTAAAAGAAAGAATAGGAAAATAAATAAAAACTTTGAACCCGACCTTTAACCCGAAATTCCCAACGCACAACATGTCGAGGGAAAGTCAGCATCAACAGGGATGTGCTGATCACCGTCGATCTTGTTTAGTATCTGCGACTGAAACACTTCACTGAGCCGCTGATAACGTGGTGTAATTATTGTCCGAAGACCAAACAAGTCGTAGTAATGAACCGAGTCATTCATAGTTCCAAGTATCCCCACCAACACGGGGGGCTTGTTACAGTAACTGACGGCGAATCCCCCTCCTGCGAGCATGAAGGGCGAGAAGGGAGGACACTCTTCGTCACAGCTAAAGAATATCTGAATTGACATAGTTAACAACGGTTATTAGAAGAAACATGGTTTAACTTTGAAAAAAAGCTCACACAAGCTGAATAAAGTATATTGTCGACACATTAACATCCCATTAACAAGGTCATAATTTTTGAAAAAATTGGTCATAAATCGCATGACAATGTTTTTTATGTACAATCATGAAGCTGATGTCCCATGGTACAATGAAATAGCATTATTTTGTGTGTTACAGTTAAGCTTTTTGAGAAATGTGTTCTCATATTTCTTGAAAATTGCTATTTTAGAACAATTCCATAGAACACAATGTTAAAGAAAAATTGCATTTTTTGACACTTTTTAAAACCCAGATTTTTTAAATAATTCAGAACAACAAAAAGTACTCCATCATTAACAATATATGATTTTTTTCAGCCTCTGTCACCAGGCTAGATTTTGAGATATTGCATAATATCTCTGCCATAGGAACCTGGAAAGGCTGGTGACCCTCAACTTTTTTTAGGTCAATATTCTTATATTGCCTTGGAGTACAGTTATGAATTTTCAGTAATCGTTATTGTTGTTCATTGGTATATTAAATGCCAGGCTATGATTTGACAAAATATTTTTTTAATGGTTAAATATGTTAATATTAGTGAATGATGATAAATTATGTTATTTATGATGCATCTTTGGAAGGGAAAATGTATAATAATAAGGTTATTACGAGGATACCTTAAGTATGCACTCAGACAGTACATCGTCGCATCGACCTCCGCTGCGTGTCGGTCGATTCTTCCGCTGTACTGTCTTCATGTATACTTTGAGGTATCCTCGTAATAACCTCATAGTACCATTAGTTGTGTTACCATTTTAATAATTTTCAAACTGAACATGTGTGTAACAACTCGTGTATTTATTTTCAACACCTTTTGATATAAAAATAATAAAAGTTACAAATTATACATTGGCATAAATCATCTTTATGGGCAAGCCAGGGCTTAAAAACAAAAGTTGGTAATGGGCGTTTCTCAGGTACTTTAATATATTTATATCTTAGCTACCATGAATTTCAGATCATGTTAGGATCACTTTCAGAACAGTAAATCATGCATTGTGTAAAATCGTGTATCCACACATTAACTCATGTGCTATTCAGAGCTTATTTGTTCTCAGGAAAAATACATTGTTATTTAGTAGCAGAACTGTGATGGCTCTATTATAAGCACTTCACAAGAGATGTATTGTGAGCATACAAGTTTCTTGGGATCAATTTTCAAAATTTGTTACACAGAATCATGTCGTTATCTACAGGTCAGATTAGTTCATAGAAATGGTTGTTCAGCCTGTAATATAATTTCAATATATCAATTTTTATTAGCATCATATGTGTATCGTTTTCTATGTTTGGGTCAAATAATAGATCAAAGAATGAAGGCGTGATTTCGGCATGAGCCGAGTCGGTCCCAAGTGGGTCCTGACTAACATGGACGCAACTGCCTTAATGCCTCTGCAAACACAAAGGAATACAAATGCCAAGTGCCGAGATCTCTTAACGTGAATGCAGCAAATAATTAAGAACAATTAGGGGCAATTCAGTTAAGAACAATTAACTTGAGGACAAGATAATTAGGACCAATTAAAGAAAGTCACCCGCTCTCTTCTTATACTTTTTAAACAAGTACAAATTCAAGTTATACACTGACAACTAAATGTATTAGTCTGAAAGGCAACTTACAGTTGTATTGTTGGAAAAACTTCATTGAAATCCTTTTCAATTTTGAGTAACTAGACCAAAAATCTGATCTATTGACCCAAAACATCTGATATGAATATCTTGAAGATACTTTAGCTACTGTGTGTATTACAGTACACATACTACTTGACACGCCAAAAGGTTACAAACAAAATTTTGCCAACAGTACAAATTCCAGAATGATGAAAATGTTTTTGTAATTTTTTGGAAATAAAATGTCCAATATTCAGCCATCTTGAAATAGATTTATGCTTAAAGTCTTCATATCTAAAGTATGTTGATGACATCAGTGATGTTTCTGTACTTGAATTACTGGTAATTGTTATTCAATTACAGATGGTCTACTTTGCATAATTGGTGTGTCCCTGTTACAAACCAGATCAAATCAATTGCATCTTGGTCACCTGTGAACAAAATAATTGTTACTCTGAGTGATAAGTGCAATAACTTAATACCCAGAATTAATCTATTTTTTAATAAATTGTATTTTCAGGCAATATAAGAATATTGACTTAAAAAAATTGGGGTTGTATTTCAGTGGGTATTGGCCATTTTGGCAATATTATGTTACTTTTACCATGGCAGAGACATTATGCCATATATCAAATTGTAGGCTGGTTTTGTAGGCTGAAAAAAATAATACATTGTTAATGATGAGGTATTTTTTGTTTTCTTGAAATAATCTAGATTTTAAAAAATGTCACCAAAGGCAAATATTATTCTCTATTGAATTGTTCTAAAAATAGCGATTTTTGAAAAATATTAGGACAAGTTTCTCAAAATATGTCACTGTAACACACAAAAGAATGCTATTTTATGGTGCCTTGTGCCCTGGGACAATAGTTTCATGAGTTTACAAAATAAAATATTGAACATTGTCATGTAATTTATGATTGGCTGAATCACTGCCATCCACCAAGTTGCTATGTCATGTGAAGACATGTACGCACATTATGGACATTGACAATTGTCAGCTCTTGAGCCAATCAGTATTTAATAATTTAATGAAAGTTGATAATAGGTATTTAATTTTTATAAACTAAGGTGAACTTTCTGCTTATCACTGTATATTCCTACAAAAAGATAAATAACTTTGCAATAGCATACTAGTACTTCATTTTAACAGTACAGCAATCGGCTACTACCAAATGTGAGTTGATAATATAATGAATAAGTGATACCAGGTGATAACTTTTTTATGACCAAATGACTAACTAAAGCTAATTTATGCTAATCAGACACCATAAACATACAATTTGAGATATGGCATAATATCCATGAACCAATAGTATGAGCTTTATAGTTTGTGACACATCCAACTTTTTAAAATCATTATCCTTGAATTGACAAGGAGTACAATTTATTTATTATATAATCTGGGTATTTAGGTAGACTTATATCTTAATTAAGAAAAGCCAAAAATATAAACTGTAAATAAATAAATAAATAAATAAATAAATAAATAAATAAATAAATAAATAAATAAATAAATAAATAAATAAATAAATAAATAAATAAATAAATAAATAAATAAATAAATAAATAAA